GTTTGGGCAAGGACACAGGGGCCCCATGATCCCCTATTGCCTGGGGGCCCCATGAGTTGTCAGTCCTCCCCTGTCCCATTACAGGAAGGGGGTAGGGGACCAATTGCCTAGGCAATCTGAACAGAAGTGGGGGTGGGTACCTGCCAAAACTAGATACCCATTCCCCCAAAGAAAATAAATATTCCAAATATAATGGGGGATGAGAAGGTAGAATGGAACTTCCTTTTTTGGTGAAGTTCTGCTTTGAGCTGGCCATAGGTGGTTCATTTTATTTTGTTCATCCTGGGAGTCGGATGGCAGAATTCCCCTCTACTGGGACATTATATTCTGACAGCGGGACCCACCACTGTCACAATTCACTGATCAGCATTAATGTTGGGCTGAATGTTCGAGTCGAACCTATGTTCGACTCGAACAATGACTGTTCGTGTGTTCGTTGAACGCATGAACGTAACGAGCATTTGGTGGGTTGTTGGCCTACCACGCCCCACAATACACTGCACCCTGACAGTGCATTGTTATTCGTCAAAGCAATGCACCTGACCACAGGTCAGGTGCAATGCTTTGGCCAATCACTGCGCAGCATGATGTCACAAGGGGCAGGGTGAACTCGGCTCCATTGTGACGCCATGACAGTAGTTAAAAACTGTCATCGCAGCGCAGCTGTCAGACAGCGGGAGCCAGCGTCATGAGCGGAGTGTGTTTTTTTTGTTTTCTCTTTTTGCGGATAGCGGCGACGGGCATTGTGATTGATGTTAGATCTACTTCAGGGGATATTTTTTTAAATTTTTATTTTCAATAAAGGATTTGTCAAAAAGACTAACTCCTGTCTTTTTTACACTACACTTGTTTTTTGTGAATGGGTAGCGGTACCGCTACCCATTCGCAGGGTTGTGGGGAAGAGGCCCTTGTCCCCATCAACATGGAGACAAGGTGCTTTGGGGGGGAGAGCTCCCCCTGCCCCAAAGCACCTCTCCGTGTTGAGGGCATGTGGCCTGTAATGGTTCAGGAAGGGGGGGGGGCACTCGCTCGTCCCCCCCCCCCCCCTTTCCTGACCTGCTGGGCTGCATGCTTGAATAAGGGTCTGGTATGGATTTTGAGTGGACCCACGCCATTTTGTTTTTACATTTTTTGCTGTGGGGGTTCCCCTCAACATCCATACCTGACCCGAAGAGCTTGATATGGATGGGAGGGGGGACCCATGCCATTTTAAAACATTAGTGTGTAGTGCGCCTGTCTGCAGGGCCGCTCTGCGGCGCGATCTGTCACCGGCCGTGTACCTTGGACACGGCCGATGACAGATCTGTGTACTAGCCCTGTTGCCAGTACCATGTGACCTGCTGTGACCAATCACAGCAGGTCACATGACAGTTGTATACAATCGATGGCTTCCTTTCATGCCATCCATTGTTTACTAGTGTGTCTAGCTGTGATTGGTCACAGCGATCACATGCACAAGCTGGGCCAATCACAGCCCATCTGTGTCATGTAATTAGCAATGGCCAAATCACAGCTAAGCACAAAAAAAAAAAAACCCCTGAATGAATCGATGTCATTCAGGTAAATGCTTGCTTATAGCAAAGTAATTCTTTGCTATAAGCAAATTGTGTAAAAAAAAATAAAAATACTGATCACTCCCCCAAAGTAGTACAGTGTTACTATGGTAACATTATACTACTTTGGTCATAGTGAAATATGAAAAAAAAAATCTTAAAAAAAGAGAAAAAAATGTAATAAAAAATTAAAACTAATACTTTTTTTTTAAAAATTAAAAACAAATTATACTTTTTTTTTCGTACTGTCTGTCACCAGTCAGTGTCCCCGATCACCGCCATGTCAGTTATATGATGACGCTGTACTGCACTGGTGACAGTATGTAAAAAAAAAATAGTGAAAATTATTTTTTACATTTTTTCATTTTCCGAAAAATTATGGCAAAAAAAAATACAACTTCAAAAAACTCGCCATGCCTCTTATGAAGTACGGCAGACTGTCTACTTTGCAAAAAGGGGTCATTTGGAGGATATCTGTACTGTCCTGACATTCTTGGACCTCAAGAAATTAGATTGGCTGTCAGTACTTCAGGATTGATCAATTTTCAGATATATCCCATAGTTTGTGAACTCTATAACTTTCCTACAAACTAAATAATACATCCTAATTTGGGTTATTTTCACCAAAGAAATGTAGTAGAACACATCTTGGCCTAAATTTATGAAGAACAATTATTTATTTGCAAACTTTTATAACAGAAACAAAGAAAAACGTGTTTTTTCAAAATGTTCGGTCTTTTTTTTGTTAATTTAGCAAAAAATAAAAACCCCAGTGTTGATTAAATACCACCAAAATAAAGCTCTAGTTGTGTGAAGAAAATGATAAAATTTTAGTTTGGGTACAGTGTTGCATGACCGCGCAATTGTCAAAGTGTGAGAGCGCTGAAACCTGAAAAATGGCCTGGGCAGGAAGGGGGCCCTGTATGGAAGCGGTTAATAACATAATTCATGTGATATTTTAGTAACTGAGCGGTATCTTACCACATACTCGGATACGGTAAGATACTGTTCAGTAAATTGTTTGTGTACGAAGTTCACGGTTGAACACTCTGTAAGTTTGAATGTTCGACCGCGAACCAAACGAGGGTGTCCGGCCCATCACTAATCAGCATCTGCAGCCACTGGTCTACAAATGTTTTCCTGCATGCCCCTTTGACAGAAGTCAGTCCAGCAGTCGCCATTTGTGAAATTTCAATCAGTGTATGGCCAGCTTTAGACATAAAGGGGTTGATTTACTAAAGCTGGAGAATGCAAAATCTTGTGCAGCTGCGCATAGAAACCAATCAGCTTCCAGGTTTTATTTGTCAACGCTTAAATGAACAAGCTGAGGTTAGAAGCTGATTGGCTACCATGCACAGCTGCACCAGATTCTGAGTGCAGCTGATTTTTTAATAAATACCCCCCAAAGTGATGAGAAATCCCAAATTTTAGGGTTGTCACCAGTACAACAGGTAAGAATTCTTTTCATCTCCTGCTCCATCCCCAGCACAGCAGGTAAAGGGGACACGAACAGTACAAAGTAAACTGACCGCGGTTTTAATAAAAACAAAAAAGTTTATTTCAGGTGCTCCTATAGTGCAGTCAATTTGCTCAATGCTTTACATATATATTGTACATTCACATCAGTCCCTAACCCTCAAGGGGTGTACAATCTAAGGTCCCTAACTCCCATTCATACATACACACAGTGGTGTGTTTAGGTTTTGTGCTGCCCTAGGCAACACAAAAATCATCTGCCCCTACGGACACCAACCAACATCCCCCTTCTGCGGAGAGAGCCTGACATTGACCAACAACACCCCTGCACCCCACCTGGGAGAGCCTTCTACTATCCCCCCCCCCCCCCCCCGACGATAGAGAGGAAGACACTCTTCTTCACAGATCCCCAGCAATGAAAGTCAGTCTCTACATACACCATCAAGCAGCCCGCAGCCTCTCTAGGATCCCACGGTGTGTGTATCCCTTCTTTCATCCCTTCTTCTGGGGGAAGGTGCTGCCCCCCTGAAAAATGCCGCCCTAGGCAAGTGCCTAGTTCCCCTTGTGGTAAATACGCCCCTGCATACACATACTAGGTCCAATTTAGACAGGAGCCAACTAACCTACCAGCATGTCTTTGGAGTGTAGGAGGAAACTGGAGTACCCAGAGGAAACCCACGCAGGCACAGGGAGAACGTGCAGACTCCAGGCAGGTAGTGCCATGGTTGGGATTTGAACCAACAACCCTAGTATTGCCAGGCGGAAGTGCTAACCATTTAGCCACTGTGCTGCCCCTTTGCTATATATACACTTCACAATGATTACAACAGTTCAACAATCCACAGGGGCCATAAACACTCATCAAGGACTGACAGCTGACACAATGACATGACCTGTAAAATGCTACATTATCCTATAAATGGGACTCAGTATTATCACAGAAGCCTGCACGGTCTGGAGACACGATTATCCAGGATGTATGAGAGCACATGGCACATGTCTGTCATCTGAAACAACACTTTGTAGGAAAATGATCTCAGATGCTAACCAGACAACATATTAAAGTAACACTAACCTCTGGTTTAAAAAAAAAAAAAAGGAAATGTATTTTCAAGTATGTATTCTTCTCTGAATAAGTCTCTTCTATTGCTTGCAGCTTTGCTGCTGTGATCTGACTCCCTGTTAGACGGTGGCCACCTTTGTTCTCCATGGTCCCACTGTATGTAGGAATTTAGCCACCCTCTCTCTCTTTCTCCTGAGATGGACTAGGGAGTATGGGATTTGTAGTGTGCTCCCGAGATGGACTAGGGACTATGTATTGTGCATAGAGCAACAGAAGTGAGGGGGTAAAAGAGAGGTTCAGGAGCTCCCAGAGGGCGTTACAAGAACAAAATACAGCAGAAAACAATTTAATGAAATATAGATTATAGAGCCATTCATTACTGGAGGTGTATGGATTATTTTTGAAGAATAAGGATAATACTTGGGGCCACATTAACCTCCCTGGCGGTATGATTATTTAAGATTTTTGGTGCTGAAAGCGGTATATTTTTTTACATGGAAATATGTATTTTTTTTAATTGTAGGCCTGTAATTTAGGAATAACTCACTGAAATCTGTCCGAACAAGAGTCTAGTAAACATTCCGGATATGATAAAACTTGAAACACAAAATCATAAATTATAATTTAATAAATAATCATAAAAAATAATAACATAATAATAAATTTAATTCAATAATATAATCAAACCAAAAACACTGACATTTGAAATATAGCACCAAGTTCGCACATCGCTGAGCAAAGTCGCAGAATCGTTTTCAGTGTCTGATGACGAATTTCCCCACAAATCATTATCACTCAATTCTGCAAGTGGTTCTGATTTACTATCGCTGTCCTCTAGCTGGTCTAAAACCGCTTTTGACCTAAAGGGATGCTTTTTGGACGTCATGGACTTTTCTAAGTTTCCAGGCACAAAGAACAGTCAAAATGCAGGCAGGGCACAGGACAAAGCACTAGGGACAAAATGGATGTGAAATGTTTTGAAACAGCAATGTTTTACTATGTAATAATCATTTTTAAAAAAATTACATTTTTTAAAAAAATTTAAAATTTGCCGCCGGTCCTGGTGCACGTACGTCCCAACGTCACAGGGGCCGAAACACGGAAGCCGGATGCCGGCATCGGCCAGAGGAGATGGCCGGGGATGCGGCAGGGAATGCATCGCGGGAGCGAAGGACAAGGTAAGCACTGCAGGGACTCCCTATGCAACGCTGCATGGTAAGCCCGAGTGTAGCTCGGGGTTACCGCTTTTGGTACTGAAACTCTACCCCGAGCTACACTCGGGAATACCGCTAGGGAGGTTAATACATACTAGTGACAGATAAAACCTCTAAAAACAGAACACAAGCCCTGTATACACGATCAGAAAATCATACGAAAAATGTCGCTTTCATACGATAATCTGATCATTAGTACACAGCAATAATCAAAAATTACTCGAAGGGACAAGCACAACAAATGATGTACAATACCAGATTGTATAATCTTCATTTCAACCACTTGCCGTATGCCCTATAGCAGATATACTGCTACAGGGTGGCCGCTCTGCACAAATTCACGTAAATGTACATGATTTTGCAGCTCGGAGTAGGGGGCGCACGCCGCCCTACCTGTGTCGCCATTGGTTGCAGCAGATGTCAATCACTGGGTCCCGGCACTCAGTGATCGGTGCTAAAGCTGAGATGGGAGAGATCTGTGTGTAAACAAAGCAGATCTTTCTCCTGTCAGCATGGACATGCTGCTTTGTATCTCTCTGCATGGCAGAGAGAGAGAAAGCAGCATGTCTCCCTAGTAAAACATGGCACAAAGTTAACCCTTTAATCGCCACAGATGTTAACCCCTTCCTGCCCAGTGTCACTTGTACAGTGTCAGTGCTTTTTATTAGCATTGATCACTGTATTAGTCTTCATGCACACTGGACATTTTTACAGCGGCTGTTTTTGGCTTTTTTGACGGTTTTTTCTACAGCCAGTAAACCCCCCAGCATGTTATCCTATGTGTCCATGCACTCATAGACTGTAATCAATGTTTTCTGGCTGGGACATTTTTTGGCTGGGAAAAAAAACAGAACTAGTGGGTTTCTAGAGGAAAAATGTTTTCATGGTAACAAGAAACCGCTAAAAGACGCAAATGTGGAAAAACACAGCTAAATGCTAATGCAAATATGCTAAAAAAAGCTGTAAAAAAAGTTTTTAATATGACTTTACACAGCTAACGTTACCAGCGTTATTAAAACGTCAAGTGTGCATGAGGGCTTAGTGTCACTTGAGATGTCAGTAGCTATTAGTCAGTTCTCTCCAGTGTCAAAATGCCCGCCGCAGTCTCGCTATAGGTCACTGATCGCCGCCATTACTAGTGTAAATAAAAAAATAAATAAAATTCCAATACCGCCATTTGTAGACTCTATAACTCTCACGTAAACCAATTAATTTACACGTATCAGCATTTTTTTTTTCTACGTAAAGACATGTAGAAGAATACATTTTGGCCTAAATTTATGAAGAAGTTTTATTTTTTTATTGGATATGTTGTATAGCAAAACATCAAAAATATTGTTTTTTTTTCAAAATTGATGGTCTTTTTTTGTTTATAGTGCAAACAATAAAAACTGCAGAGATGATCATATACCACCAAAAGAAATCTGTTTGTGCTAAAAAAAAGTAACATAAATGTAATTTATGTACAGCGTTGCATGACCGCGCAATTGTCAGTTAAAGTAACGTATTGCAAAAAATGGCCTGGTCAGGAAGGGGGGTAAATCCTCTGGAGGGCAAGTGGTTAACCCAGGGGCGTCCCTAGGGTTGGTGTCACCCGGTGCGATAACACTTGGTGACACCCCCTCGGACGATCCCCGCAGAATGGATCGGATCTGTGGATTGAGCATAATGGATCGGACTCCGATCCTTTATGCTCCCCAATCCGCAGATCCGATCCATCGTGCAGGGATCGTCGGCATGCAACCTATACGGGGTGATACCGGACCCGCGCCACGAAAAGGTAAGTTGTAAACAAAGCCAACGATCCCCGCAGGATGGATCGGATCCATCCTGCGAGGATCGTCGGCTTGATTTACAACTTACCTTTTTGTGGAGCGTGTCCGGTATCACCCCGTATAGGTTGCATGCCGACGATCCCCGCAGAATGGATCGGATTCATCCTACGGGGAGCGTCGGCTTGCTTTACAACTTACCTTTTTGTGGAGCGGGTCTGGTGTCCCCCGTGCGGTCGGGGTCACCCGGTGTGGCGCGTACCCCCCATACCTGCCTCAGGACGCCACTGGGTTAGCCGGTACAGTTTTCGGCTGAAAATACAATACAATTACATCACTTCCAAATTTTTATGCTGTTGTACGAGAATTTTCATAACTTTAGTGACCTCTTCACTTTCGTTATGAGACTAGCATGCAAAAAAAAACCAGACGATCATTCGTCCGATATTCTCAACGTGTATATGGGGCTATTCTCCAGTACGGAATCAACGCATTATCCATTGTACTAAACATATCCACAATGGACAAAGAAGTTTTTTCAGAAGCAATCCCAGCTTGTATGACTTGCTAAGAGGATGCAAGCTGATGACAGTTGGCACTGAGATCCCGACCACTCCTGACAATGATCCCATTCTCTGTCCAGGGAGAGATCAGCAGCCATACAGCTCTGATTGAATACTGGATCTGATATTATTGTCACTCCCAGCTTTGGTCCCATCAGCACAATGCTCTTACCTGGCTCTTGGAGATTGTATCCACAATGAAGCCAAACTGATGGATTTCTTCGGAGCCAATCATTGTGGTCATCAGCTCCCAGATAGAAGAATTCCCTGAAGCAGTCAGCACATGGATGTCCAGAACAGCTGCAGCCAACTTTGATGAAGGATGGGAAGTGAGGCAGAGAGCTCAGCAGGGAGATCTGCCCTGAGATACTGATTGCTGCAACCAAGCTGAGCTCATGGAAAAACAGGCACAATCCATTTGATAGGCTGTGTTTATGTTGTGAAAATTTTATGAGAGCAACCCAAGATATGCAAAGATGTGCCCCGCCTGTGATGTGACAGATCCCTCCTCTGCTCCCCTTCAGTGTGACTACAAGAGAGCACAGCCTGGAATCCGAATCAGGAGGTGTCACTTCTAGCAGTGTGCTCTGTGTACAGACAGACAGGAGGGGAAAAACAAACACAACTGTTGTCAGCTCACCAGGATCTCTATGAGGAGTGTGCTGGCCATGCCTGGCTGACCTCATCAATAGGAAAGTTCAATTCTGATCCTTTCTTCCTCGCTGTACTGTAACACAATTATTATTATACAGGATTTATATAGCGCCAACAGTTTGCTCAGCGCATTACAATATAACGGGAGACAATACAGCAACAATACAGTTCAATACAAGAGGGCCTGATCCTGGGAGCTTACAATCTAAGAGGAGTGTGTCTTTCTTGTGTTGATCATACATGGACCCATAAACACTTATTGATTATTTGGTTGCAAATGTTCTCTCCCTACAAAACAACACACAAAAGAAAAAGATTCATTTTGTTGAATTCTTTTGGATTTTCATCATTCCATGTCAATGAAAAATTGTAGGTGACTTTTTATTCCAGTTGCAATGAAAAAAATGAAAATAATACATGCAAAATGTATGTGTTTTTATGATAGAGAAAGGTACGTGCATCCTTTTTTGGTAGCATGTGTCTTTCACAAACTGCGCCAAGCGCCATACAACAGTCACTCTGTCAAGAAGTGCCTGAGAACACTTCTTAAAGAGATACTAAAGGTCATTTTTTGTGTGTTTAAAGTGTTACTAAATCCACAACCATGAAACCAGTCTGTATATGCAGTAAAGCATGCTTGTTATATTCACTGTGAAACCTAAGGGGTTAATCCTCTGCATTGTGTAAAAATGCTGTTTAGTTTTGACTTCTCTGATCCTCCCCTTCTTCCAGTGCCCCCCTCTTATCTCCTGATAAAGATATATTGTGTGGAGTCACTCTGCACATGCTCAGTTTGGTGTGTATTGCTACAGAGGTGTTTTTTTTTTCTTGGGAGAGTGCATGCGATCAGCACAGGGCCAATCAGCACTGTCCAGACAGAGGTCAGAGGTTCTGCATCCTCCTAGAGCAAAATGAAAACTTATCCTACAAGCTTTAACATGTGCTCTGCTGGAGACTGATAGAAGTCACAAGACTGCTCTAACTGCTGATGATAAGAGGTATTTAGTAGTTTATATTTACTAAAATAATTGTATTTCCATGTTGTGTGTACTGTGGGAGACCAGATATAGTGAATGCAGGGTCCTGGGTTTAGTAACACATTAAATAAAAAGATGTTATACTTACCTGCTCTGTGCAACGATATTGCACATAGCAATCCATTATCTCCTCTTTAGCAATCCCTTGCCAGTGCTATCCTCCCGTTCTTCATCTTCTTTCTACCTGTGTGCTAAGGGAGCACAAGTGTGACTGCGTTCCCAATCTGGGTTGTGTGCTTCCATAGACACACACAGCACTAGCAAGCCATGCCCCTACTCCCCCCTCACAGGAGTTTGACTGACAGCAGCAAAAGCCTATGGCTCCTGCTGCTTTCAATTACTCCTGTGAGACCAGGAAAAGAGGAGACTGGTGGGATGAGTCAGGTAAATGATTAGGGATGGGGGTGGAGTAGGATAGGTAGTGGGGGGGTTCACCTAGAACGGGTGTCGGCAACCCGCGGCTCCAGAGCCGCATGCGGCTCTTTTTCATCTTTGCTGCGGCTCCGGAGCACACTGCCCACCAGGTGACAGGCAATAGGGTTTCAGTGGTCGGCAAGCCGCGGATCGCAAGCCACATGCGGCTCTTCTGTGTGCCGGGCGCCCGCTCCCCTCCCTCCTCTCGGGCGGCCGCCTCAAAAGTCAGGACTCTTTTAATCCGGCCCGCGGAGCGTGGAACATTAGCTGTCAGGATGTAGGCGGGGCAGCCAGGATGTAGGGGGGGGGCAGCGTGACGAACTCCTCTCACAGTCCGCCCTGAAGACCGGAACACAGCGCGGGAACACAGCGAGAGGAACGCGCGGAGCAAAGGTAAGTGAATTGAGACAATATGGGGAATTAATTACTATAGGGGGGATGAATTACTATGGGGGATGAATTATTATATGGAGGATTAATTACTATGGGGGATGAATTACTATGGAGGATGAATTACTATATATGGGGGGGATGAATTACTATGGGGGATGAATTACTATGGAGGATGAATTACTATAGGGGGGATGAATTACTATGGAGGATGGGGGATGAATTACTATATGGAGGATGAATTACTATATGGGGGATGAATATATTATATTGATGGATTAATTACTATGGGGGATGAATTACTATATGGATGGGATGAATTACTAGGGAGGATGAATTACTATATGGGGGATGAATTACTATGGGGGATGAATTACTATGGAGGATGAATTACTATATGGGGGATGAATTACTATGGAGGATGAATTACTATATGGAGGATGAATTACTATATGGGGGATGAATTACTATGGAGGATGAATTACTATATGGGGGGATATGGGGGAATTACTATATGGGGGGAGGATGAATTACTATATGGAGGATGAATTACTATATGGGGGATGAATTACTATATGGAGGATGAATTACTATATGGGGGATGAATTACTATAGGGGGGATGAATTACTATATGGGGGATGTATTACTATATGGGGGATGAATTACTATGGGGGATGAATTACTATATGGGGGATGAATTACTATGGAGGGGGGATGAATTACTATATGGGGGGATGAATTACTATATGGGGGATGAATTACTATGGGGGATGAATTACTATATGGAGGATGAATTACTACTATATGGGGGGATGAATTACTATAGGGGGGATGAATTACTATGGGGGATGTATTACTATATGGGGGATGAATTACTATGGGGGATGAAGTACTATATGGGGGATGAATTACTATAGGGGGGATGAATTACTATATGGGGGATGAATTACTATATGGGGGATGAATTACTATGGGGGGGATGAATTACTATAGGGGGGATGAATTACTATGGAGGATGAATTACTATATGGGGGATGAATTACTATATGGGGGATGAATTACTATAGGGGATGGATGAATTACTATATGGGGGATGAATTACTATATGGGGGGGGGGGATGAATTACTATATGGGGGATGAATTACTATGGGGGGGAATTACTATATGGGGGATGAATTACTATATGGGGGATGAATTACTATGGGGGATGAATTACTATGTGGGGGATGAATTACTATATGGGGGATGAATTACTATATGGGGGATGAATTACTATATGGGGGATTAATTACTATGGGGGATGAATTACTATGTGGGGGATGAATTACTATAGGGGGGATGAATTACTATATGGGGGATGAATTACTATGGGGGATGAATTACTATATGGGGGATGAATTACTATGGGGGATGAATTACTATATGGGGGATGAATTACTATGGGGGATGAATTACTATAGGGGGGGGATGAATTACTATAGAATTACTATGTATGGGGGGATGAATTACTATATAGGGGATGATGATGAATTACTATGGGGGATGAATTACTATAGGGGGATGAATTACTATATGGGGGATGAATTACTATGGGGGATGAATTACTATATGGGGGGATGAAGCTAACTGCACGATCCTGTATATAGCATTAAGGTAAGAAACAATATATGCAGTGTCGGATTTGTTTTAAATGTTGCAATGGTTTTGCGGCTCCCAGTCTTTTTTTTCCCTTCGGAAACGGGTCCAAGTGGCTCTTTATGTCTTAAAAGTTGCAGACCCCTGACCTAGAATATGTCAACACGACATTCATATTCCTGATATGTGCCTTCTGTATCATGTACTTGTATAGAAATGTATCCTGTACTCTTTGTTTTGCTTCCTTTGTGTGAATTCCCTGGTGTTCCTGCCAGTCTCTCTTCTTTCCTGTTAAAAACTGGCCACACTTGGCAGGAGAGCACAGAGTGGTCAGTATTCTTGCTGTGCTGAGAACACAGCCTGCTCTCCTCCAATGACCAGGTTTGTGCTGCCACCCCCCACCCCCCCCCCCCTTTCCCTGGCACAGCCATTCACTGGAAATACTAGTGTACTGCAGTTACTCCTCCCTCAGCGCCTTATGCAGTTGAGAATAAAGGGAATGTGATCACTTATAAAAAAGGGAAAAAATGTATTAATAATGTTTTATTTATATCTATACACAAATGCTTTGCCTTTCATTTCTGTTGTGAACTAAATGGGTTGTTTTAAAATGGGCTCACATAAAAAAAATGCATTAGAGGAAAAAAAACGCTTTAGAACCTCTTTAACCACTTGCCTACTGGGCACTTATACCCCCTTCCTGCACAGGCCAGTTTTCAGCTTTCAGCACTGTCACACTTTGAATGACAATTGCGCGGTCATGCAACACTGTACCCATATGACATTTTTATCATTTTTATGAGACAGATAGAGCTTTCTTTTGGTGGAATTTAATCACCTCTGGGATTTTTATTTTTTGCTAAACAAACCAAAAACAACTGAAAATTTTTAAAAAAAACAAACACGATTTTTCTTAGTTTTTGTTATAAAATTTTGTAAATAAGTGATTTTTCTCCTTCACTGATGTGCGCTAATGAGGCTGCAGTGATGGGCACTGATAAGCTGCACTGATGGGCACTGATAGGTGGCACTGATGGGCACTGATGAGGCACTAGTAGGTGCCACTGATGGGCATTGACAGGCATCACTGATGGGCACTGAAAGGCAGCACTCATATATGGCACTGATAGGCGGCACTGATAGGTGGGACTGACTGGCACTGATAGGCAGCACTGACTGGCACTGTTAGGCGGTACTGATGGGCACTGATAGTGGTGGCACTGATGCACACTGACTGGCACTGATAGGTGGCACTGACTGGCATTGATTGGTGGCACTGACTGCCACTGATAAGTGACACTGAAAGGCAGCTCAGATGGGCACTGATATGTGGCATTGATGTGGCACTGATGGGCACTGACATGTGGCACTGCTTGGGGCTACACTGATCATCAGTGCCCTGATGATCAGTGTACATTTCCCCTACGAGGAATGCCGATTACCGGCTCTCCTCTCCTCCTGTCAGCGTGACAGCTCGTGAGGAGAGAAATGCCGATAACTGGCATTTCCCTATTTACATGTGATCAGCTGTGATTGGACAGCTGATCACCATTACACAGAGCAGGTAAGTACGACATGCTTGTTATTTTAATAAACCTGTTTTTAATATCACTTTAACCATTTCTCCTTCAAAGGATTTACCCCCCTTCCTGACCAGGCCATTTTTTGCGTTAAGGTGCTGCATTACATTAACTGACAATTACACGGTCATGCAACGCTGCACCCAAATGAAATTCCTTTTTTCCCACAAATGAAGCTTTCTTTTGGTGGTATTTGGTATCCTGTGCGGTTTTAATTTTTTGCGCTATAAACAAAAAAAGTCCGACAATTTCGAGAAAAAAAAAATTTGGGGGAATTTCTTTGCTATTAAACATGTCCAGTAAAAAAATAAAAAATGTTGTCATAAATTTAGGCCAAAATGTATTCTGCTACATGTCTTTGCCAATACATGTAAATTAATTGGTTTATGTGAAAGTTATAGCGTCTACAAATGGTGGTATATATACTGGAATTTTTTTTTATACTAGTAATGGCGGCGATCAGCGACTTATTGCTGGACTGCTGCAGGCATTCTGACACTGGGGTTGGGGGGACTGACTAACTGCCACTGACATCCCCAGTGACACTAATACAATGATTAGTGCTAATAAAAAGCATTGACACTGTACTAATGGCACTGGGCAGGAAGGGGTTAACATCTGGGGCGATCAAAGAATTAACTGTGTGCTGTGTGTTCTACTATGTAAACAGGCTGCTTTGTATTGTATTGCTATGCAGATCCATACAATGCAGTGTGCAGGAGCTGACAGGGGAGATATCTATATTGTTTACACACAGGTCTCTCCCCCGTCACTGTTCCCCGGCGATCTTCGGGTGTCTGCGGGGAATCTCCGTCTGGGACCCGGTGATCGACAGCTGAAGCTGCCAACGGTGGCTACCCAGAAATATAAAATCATGTATATATACGTGTGATTTTGCACAGCCCTGTCGCCCTGTAGCAGTAGTTCTGCTATAGGGTGGTCGGGAAGCGGTTAATATTGCGTAAAGCAGCATAGATTTATTGGAAGACATTTGGATAGCTCCAGTCAGTTGCCACTGTTTTACAGATATGGATGATGCAATGATTTTGATAAATGGCAGCTCATATTTAGCACATCTGCCTTGCAGCACTGGGATCCTTGGTTTGAATCCTGACCAGGACACTGTCTGCGTGGAGTTTGCATGTTCTCCCTGTGCTTGTGTGAATTTCCTCCCGCACTCCAAAGACATGCTGGTAAGCTAAGTGGCTCCTGTTTAGACTGGTCTTGGTATGTATGCTTGTGAGTTTGGGACCATAGACTGTACGCTTCATGAGGACAGGGAGTGATGTAAACTAATATTATCCGGATACACAGAGATGGAAAATCATCCGGGTAAGCAGTAATAAACCCAAAATCAAAAATGTAAGATATTGCAGCTTATCAATCATTAGATTTGTTGGCTGCATTACTTTTTTTTTTAGGATTTTTTCCGTGTGTTAACACCTGGTGATCTGGCCAGTAACACACATCCTGTATTAGAGTGCCCCCACTCTGGATGAAGGAGCACAGGGCAGGGGCGGACTGACAAGTCATGGGGCCCCCGGGCAATAGGGGATCATGGGGCCCCTGTGTCCTTGCCCAAACTCAAAAAAGCCTATGAAAAAGGTACCAGGGGCATCTCATGGGGCCCCCTACTGACCCCGGGCCCTCGGGTAGTGCCCCAGTTTCCAAATGGTCAGTCCGCCCCTGGCACAGGGGCACCTTTGGACAGCAGCACTGTCTGTTTGAGGGGAGGGTAGTGCCAAACTACAGCTCACGTTTTATAAGCTGTTACAGCAGACAGTTTTTTTCTTTTTTGGCATAAAGGTTTTACATGAAATAAATAAAAGCTGATCATTCTAAGCTCCCCTGTCATTGTTAAATGGTTTGTCTCATCTCTGTAATTGGTACAGACAGACTTACACCTCGGTCACATCGGGTGCAATTTGGCATGTGATTTGCATGCCATGAGACTTGCAAATTGTATGCCAAGTCGTACCCTATTGTCTGCTATTAGAGCGGTCATATTGGTGCGGTTCCGACTTGGTCAGAGCCGCACTGATTTCTAAAGTAGTACATGCACTACTTTTGTTGCAATTTGCATAGACATCTGTGTCAGATGTCTTGGAAATCGCAACTGAATTCGGCATGTCACCCAATTTTGAAATCATGCAACTTCACTGTAAGTCGCACGATTTCAAAATCGGCTTTGATGTGACCGGGGGCTTACTGGAAGGATAACCAGATGAAAATAGAAGAAAGAAAGTCTAAAAAAGAAAATGAGTGCAGCCATCACATGTAAGAATTGTAAGCTGCAATATAATAAATGTTTACTTGCAGCTATTACTTGCTTTAATCGTTTAATACCACTTTAAGTCCCTAATTGATTTTAATGAAAGCACCTGAAAAATGCTCAAAAATGCAGGTTTTCTTGCCTACGAACTACACTGCTCAAAAAAATTAAAGGAACACTTTTTAATCAGAGTATAGCATCAAGTCAGTTAAACTCCTGGGATATTGATCTGGTCAGTTAAGTAGCAGAGGGGGTTGTTAATCAGTTTCAGCTGCTTTGGAGCTAATGAAATTAACAACAGGTGCACTAGATGGGCAACAATGAGGCGACCCCCAAAACAGGAATGGCTTTACAGGTGGAGGCCACCGACATTTTTTTCCCTACTCATCTTTTCTGTTTTTCACTAGTTTTGCATTTGGCTAGGGTCAGCGTCACTACTGGTAGCATGAGGTGATACTTGGACCCTACAGAGGTTGTCCTATGGACACAGCTGATCATGTGATGAGGTAAAAGGCCAATCACAACGGCCTTTTACCACATGATCAGCTGTGTCCAATGACACAGCAGATCACAATGTAAATACAGTTGCCGGTTATCAGCTGCACTTTCCTCACGCTGTCACAGCAAGAGGAAAGTACTGCTGATAACCGGCAACTGTCATAGAGCAGATTGGCACTAGTCATCAGGGCACTGATGATCAGTGCCCAGAAGTGCCACCCAGCAGTGCCTCCCACCAGTGCCACCCATCAGTGCCATTCATTGCTGCCCAGCAGTGCCACCCACCAGTGCCCAGCAATTCTGCCAGTCAGTGCCGTCAGTCAGTGCCGCCAGTAAGCGCTGCCCATTAGTGCCACCTATCTGTCCCCATCATTGCTGCATATCACCGCAGCATCATCAGTGCCTCCTCTTCAATGCCCACCAGTGCTGCCTCATCAGTGCCACTTCAGTGCTGCCTATCTGTGCCACCTCATTAGTGCCCATCAGTGCTGCCTATCAGTGTCCATTAGTGCTGCCTATCAGTGCTACCTATCAGTGTCTCCTCATCAGTGCCCATTAGTGCTGCCTATCAGAGCAGCCTCATCAACACACATCAGTGAGAAAAATTACCTGTGTGCAAAATTTTATAATAGAAACAAAGAAAAACTTTTTCTTTCAAATTTTATGCTCTTTTTTTTTGTTTATAGTGCAAAAAAATAAAACACCCAGAGGTGATTAAATACCACCAAAAGAAAGTTCTATTTGTGTGCAAAAAAGTATAAAAATTTCATATGGGTACAGTGCTGCATGACCGTGCAATTGTCATTCAAAGTGTGTGAATGCTGAAAGCTGAAAATTGGCCTGGGCACGAAGGGGGTAAAAGTCCCCAGTAGGCAAGTCGTTCAAACTCTGCCACAGTTCTAGTGAATATGTTTCCCCAACACATTTATGAAAGATGCAACCTGATTGATTGCTATTGTAACCACTTTGCTTCTATTTCTTTTTTTGTTTCTCATTATATAGTCACATTAGGGTTGATCTACTAAAGTCAAATAGGCTTTTCACTTTGCAAGGGAAGTTGCACTTTGTAAGGGAATTTGCCCCAGTGCTTCATGTGATATAGTTTCACTTTGTAAAGAATACCCAATCACGTGCAAGGAATTAAAAAAAAAAAAATGTTTATTCTTGCACATGATTGAATGGTGGAAGTCAGCAGAGTTTCACCTCATTCGCTAAGCTCTGGCAGCAATTGCCCTGCAAAGTGAAAAGTCTATTTGACGTTAGTAAATCAACCTGATTGTGTATGGCCAGTTTAGGAGCTCTGAGTTGAAAGATTACTTGGGCTTGTGTTTGTCCTTTGTACTGGCTATTTGTAGTTTTAGCAACAATACTATCAGGTAATCCATGTGTCACTATACTCACAGGTAGGAATTCCAAAGTAAATGATCTCAAATATTCAAGAACCTTTTCTTTTATTCAGTAGTTCATGCAGACAGAGCCTGTATACATATAAAAGACACAAGGGGGTTGATTTACAAACACTGGAGAGTGCAAAATCTGCTGCAGTTCTGCGTAGAAACCAATCAGCTTCCAGGTATTATTGTCAAAAACTAATTGAACAAGCTGAAGTTAGAAGCTGATTGGCTACCATGCAGAGCTGCACCAGATTTTGAGTGCAGCTGATTTTTAGTAAATTTCCCCCAAAGTGATGGGACATCCCAAATTTTAGAGTTGTCACCAGCACAACAGGTAAGGTTTCTTAATATCTCCTGCTGCATCCCCAGAACAGGGGGTAAAGGGGGCACGAATAGCACAAAGTAAACTGACCGCGGTTTTAACGAAAAAAGTTGCTGAAGAAAGAAGCTGATTGGCTACCATGCACAGCTGCACCAAATTCTGAGTGCTTCAGTTTTAGTAAATCAACCTAATTGTGCTATCCAAATAGGATCAGCTCAACACTGCAGACCGCAGCTGGATCTAGGGGAGGTGCTGGGGTGGGCTGCGCCCCCCCCCAGATTTTAGTCATGGCTCCTCCCCAGGTGGGACAGTAGTGATGAGGACAGTCCATGTAAGGGGGCACTGTGATGGGGACACCTGATGATGTAAGGGGCCACTATGATGGGGATAACTGATCATATGTAAGGGGCACTCAGATGGTGACAATTGATGTAAAGGAGAACTCTTATGGGGATCGTGATGTAGAGGGCAATCTGATGGGGACCCTGCTGTCAGGGGATGCTCTGATGGGGACCC